AAAGGCGTATATATATAAAAAAAAAAAAAAAAACACCAAAAAAAGTTTTAAGTCCCCCGCCCTCGCACTTAAATACGTAAAAAGGCGTTGGGCACGCCTACGTACAAAAACAACGATGGCGCTGCACACGTTACATATCGCCGCAAACGTTGCAGTGAAATAAATCATTTTAGGGCCATCAATCACTGATAACACTAAACTGATGAGCGGTAAAAGCTTGTAAAGCGTCGGCTATGGTCAATTTTGGGTATGGTAGTTTTTTTGCGATGTTGTGGGCACGCACAATTTTAAAGCTTGACATGTTTGGTGTCTATTTACACGACGTGAACCCGTCTTACCAAAAATGCGGGTGATAATAAATGTTTCATTACATTTCATAAAGGAAAACAGTTTTTGTTTAAAAATGTTGGGTCCTTTTTTCGTTATATATAGTATATAGTAAAACATAAAACCTCCAGTGGTGATGAAATACCACCAAAAGAAAGCTCTATCTGTCCCTAAAAAATGGTATAAAATTAATTTCAGTACAGCGCTGCATGACGGAATAAATGTCAGTCAAAGTACCGCAGAGCTGAATACTGAAAAATGGTCGGGACAGGAAGGGGGTGTAAACACCTGGTCAGCAAGTGGTTAAAAAATAATATAGAATCAAATAATATATATATATATTTTTAAAGTACCCTGCCCCCCCCATGAGCGCGTGCGTGCATTCACGCAAACCCGTGTCGTACGAAAAGGTTGATCGTGTATGTGTAAACTGATGACCTGTAGGGGGTTTAAAGCAACATCTATGGACTTTTTGAGGTAATGAATTATGTCGCAGTTTCACGGACGCACACAATTTTTAACCTGGGCATGTTGGGTATCTATTGTTGTAACCTCATATTTTATATATCACAAAAAAATTGTTTTTATATTGTGTTTTGAGGCACTAAAATTAACTTAAGTGCATTTTTCACTAGATTTTTGGGTTTGATAAACAGTTGCGCCAATATCATTCAACATAAAAATTTGCAACTGACAATTTTATTCTACAGGGTCTCGGCTTTCAGAAAACATATAATTTTTGGGGTTTGAAGTAATTTTCAGGCCTAAAATGTGGATTATATCATGTGTGCAAAAAACAAAAAAAAAAGGCCTTGGTAGCGAAAGGGTCCTGAAGGGGTTAAAGTGACACTAAACTCAGTAATAAAACCTTAAAAATAAATTCAAGTAACATAACTATTACCAAAAATGTGTCTTATTTGTGTATCACTCGGCTGTAGATCCTCCAATCATCTCTGAATTGGTGCTGGCACTGTCCTTCCTTCTGGAGGGTGGCTACTTGTGTTCCCCATGGTCCCTGTGTGTGTTGTAAAGTAGTCACCGATCCAGGCTCACTCCCGTGATGGACTACAATCACGATACAGATTAGACAACTAAGCATGAGATTGTAGTCCATCCAGGGGGCGAGCTTGGAGCGGTGACAACTTTACAACACACACATGGACCATGGGGGACAAAAGTAGCCCCCCTCCAGAAGGAAGGACAGTGTCTGCACCAATTCAGAGATGATTGGAGGATCTACAGCCGAGTGATACACACATAAGACACATTGTTGTTCAGAGTTAAGGGACCTGAATGTATTTTTAGGATTTAACTAAGTAAGGATGCCAATCACGCATGACCAGTAGAGGGCATATTAAAAAATCTGAATATAAACGCATTATTAAAAAAAAAATTGGTATAGCAAGCAAGTAAAAATTTAAAAAATCTCAAAAATGGATGCACAAAAATGTTCTGCCTCCAAGTGCGGGCCGAGTGGGGTGTAGTCGCATGCAGCCGAGTCCTCCCATGGGGATGTACAGGCAGCTGCATGCAATAACACGCAGCACCTATCCCTCCTGGGAGTGGGTCTCATGTGTGTGCCCATGTGAATGAGCCCTAAATAATAATTTAAAAAAATATTCCTTTGCAGTGGGGCTCCTGCAAGAGTCAAATGGCCATTTTCCTCCAGGATAGCACTTTTAAGTACCTTATTCCGCGCTCCTCCAGAAGGTTGCGCTCTTTCCTTCCCTCTGGTGCTCCCAGGTTGTAGGCTGGCCAACGGCGAACTCACTTACAATGCAGGACTGCATTGTATGCATGGCCGGATTTCCCACAAGGCCAGCCAAGGCCCGGCCTCGGGGCAGCAGGGAGTAGGGGGGCAGCAGGGGTGTGGAATTCCTATCTCCCGATGCCTGGGTCATGCAGTTCCGGGCGTCGGGTGGGTAGTTTTCTACATTTAGCCCGTCTTTGGGCAAGCAGAGCTAAATGTACAGTGGGGAAGCCATGTGATGACAGAGCCGTAGCTAGCTCTTTTTGCGCCCGAGGCAAGAACAGAAAATTGAGCATAAAAATGTGTTTCAATTGACAAAACTAATGAAAACTTTTTTAGTTTCCGTTCATTTTGTCCAAAACAAATTTTTAGTCTTTGCACATGTCTAGTAATGTATGTGTGTTTTTTAATTTTAATTATTATTATTTTTTTTTACTGTTGGGGGGCTTCGGGGAAATATCAGGGGTCTAAACAGACCCCTGATATTTCCCTTTTGAAATAGAAAAAGAGATTGAGGACGCAGAGTCCTCTGCCCATACAGGCAGGGGAGAGCAGCAGGGATCCGAGGAGAAGCTGGAGCCTGTGCCGCTCCTCTTCTCCTTGCCGAGCCGCGGCTGTGTTAGCCGCCTGGTGCCCATGTTGCCAATGGCGCCCTGTGCTTGCCATGGCAACAGGGGTGAGGGGGCACAGCCAGGCCGTCCCTGGCTGCGCCCCCTCTCAGCTGCGACTGAGGCGAGTGCCTCACTCGCCCCATGGTAGCTGCAGCCCTGTGTGATGATGTCACAGAGCGACCATCGAACTGAAGCATCTTTGTGGTCTGGTGGCTACACATTGTCCTTATCGACATGTGGGCGCCAATCAGCCGCGGTAGCCAATAGGATCCATTTGCTCTTTACATATGTAAGCATTAGGACCAATGTAACATGTGGACAACGTTACTGCAGGATCCTTCTGCTGTGTGTTAATCTCATACACCTGTGCAAATGAGCCCCTAAGGTAAATGTTACCATAATAGTTCAAGATGTGCGCTGTCTGAAAATATACCGCAGTTCACCTTTAAGCAACCAATCAGACATCATCTTTCCCTCTTCTGATAACCATTTAATAGACCTGGTTGCCCTGAGTTGACTGCACTTTGTACTCCGCCACTGCCATTGGCAGCTCCCTATCATTAAGCTGCGATCTTGTTTCGCGCTCAGCGGGCAGATTGGGCTAAATCGGCGTTGTATAATTCACAACGCACATGTGCCGGCCTTGTACAGGCTGCAGATCAGCAAAAAAAACAACAAAAAACAAATAAACGATAAAAGAATGGAAACAAAATTACAGAAATTTGCAAACTTTGACAAATGGCGCCCTGTACTTGCCACAAGCTAATGGCGTCCAATGATTAATAAGAGCAAAAATAATTGCATTTCATTAA